CTAAGAGGCTGGATCTGGCTGGTGTTGGGCGGAAATTCTATGGTTTCATGGAGGGTTACGAGCTGGTTCGCCCTGCTGATGGTGCGAAGCTATCAGCTCTTCCTGCTGGTCACATTGCTGTGTTCGCTTCACAGCTGGATTTGGGCTTGAGGTTCCCCCTGGAACCTACCCTGGAGAAGTTGCTACGTACCTTCAATATTTGCATATCTCTGGTGCATCCTGCTGCACTTCACACTTTGATCTGCTTGTTGTGGTTTTTAAGATTTCGAAGGTATCCTGAGTCTCTGCACTTGTTCATGTCTCTGATGAGCCTAAAGAGATCTGCTTCTGGGACTGAGTTAGGGTGGTATTATGTTGCTCCTAAGGAGAGCAAGGTCTTGTCCTACCCAAAACTTGGCAGCTTCAGGGACTGGACTGATAAATTTTTCTGGGTGAAGGTGCTTTCCAATTTTTCTGCCCCGTGCAACTTCAGAGAGATCTGCACCAACATGGCTGGAGTCACAGTCTCCCCTTCTGAGCCTTCCCGTGAGACAGAAGCTTTTGAGGCTTTGCAGGGTGCGGGGACTGGTGATTCTAAGTTCCTCAAGGTCTGGCTGCCCAACTCCATCTATATTATGGGCAACGAGCAGCTCTCTGCCATGCGTTTGTGCCATACGCATGAGTCTGGTAAGCTTTTCACTTTCCGTCCTTTCTTTTTCTTCCTTGTCTCTCTTTTTTTTTTTTTTTTTTTTTTTTTTTTTTTTCTTTGCCTTACTTGACTTTTCTGCCCTTTAGCTTTTCAGGCTATGATAAGTTGGACAAGCGTATGCTTGGGCTTGCTAATAATGGGAAAGACCCTTTGACTGCTACCCCTGAAAATCCTCCTCGGCTATTTGACACGCTAAAGGTGTTTGCGGGCTCTCTGAAGGGTAAAGTGCGTCTAGCTCCTGCTGAGCTGCGGGCTGTCGTTGGCACAACAGCTATTGGTGAGCGTGCTGGGTCCATCCGCGCCGAGGCTGAGCCTCCGTCCTCTACTGTTGGGAGTAGGCGTGAGACTCGGCCTACTCCTCGAAGGGTGACTTCAGAATCTGAGAAGCAGTCTGTCGCGGCTTCCGGCCAGGTGGCACCTCAAACTTCTACTGCCAAAAGACAACGTGATCAAGATTCTGATGATCCAAAAGCTACTGCCGATGATTTTGCTGATAGTGTTGTCTAGTTTTCCGATGAGGGGACTGAGACTGCTAATGTGGGTGAAAAACCCATTTCTTCTGCTGAGCATGTTCTTCTCTTTCCTTCTTCTGTTGATGATGCTATTGTTGCGAAGGATACTATTGTCCCTTCTGCTGCAACCATTGAATTTCAGCTCCCTGAGGAGACTGTCGTGGAGCTTCCTAGATTTCTGCCGCGTCCCTACGGGATGAGAGGGCGACTTCGAAGTGATTTAAGGGGTGGGCTCTCTCGGGCAGGGGGTTCTCACCAGCAGGATCATCCAATTATTGACTTGGAGGATGATCCAATGTCCTCTGCCCCTGCTGGAGATGAGTCGGAAGCGAAAAAAGCTTGCACCTCTCCTGGTCCTGATCCTCTTGCATCTACATCCGCCAACACTAGGCTTCCAGGTGAGAATGCTGATGGGGGGGGGGAACACTCAGACTTCCAGTGAACTTAACCGTTGTGTTCACCAATTCTTGAGTGATGCTTTTGAGAACCCTCTGTCTACTACCTCATTTTCTGCTGGAGGAACTTTCCGCCCTACTAGGGCTATTGAGTTTTCTGAGGTTCCCATTGATGTCCATCTCCGCCCAATACTTTGCCCTGCTGGAGCTGAGAAGGCTCCCTTTCGGCCCCTGATGAATGTGAGGGCAGATGAGTCTTTGTTTGTGGACGACCCTCAGAAAGGTGGTACCTTGGAGTACCGCTTGACTCAAGGGGTTCGTCTTCCTGCTGATTCTACGAGCAACTCAGTCAGCCTCCCAGCTACTACGGCGTGCCATGATCTGCAGAAGGTTAGTTTCTGCTTTTGGTCTTTCTCTTTTTCATTTTAGCTTTTCTTTTCTTCTCTGCTTGCTTTGTTGTTACTGTCTTGTTTTACTTTTATTTTTAGTTAACTTTTTCTTTGGCTCACTCCTCCTTCCTTCTACCTTTCTTGAAGCTTGTTATGTCTGTTGGAGATTTATCCAATGCTCTGCTTTTAGTGGAGAAGGAGTATCAAAATCAGGGCATAACTCTCTCTCAGAAGAATTTGGAGGTTCAGCAAGCTCAGGCTGAAAGGGATGCTATGGCCAGTGAGGTGACTCCACTAAGGGAGAGGGCGGATGCCCTGTAGCTCCAGTTGGGAGAATTTCAGTTCACCTAGACCAAGTTGAAGAGCTGCGAGGAGCAACTGAAGACCTCTCAAGCCAGGGTGCAAACGTTGGAGGCAGAGGTTACAGATTTGCGAGCTGCGCACACTGCTGAGTTGGAAGCTGCCAGGAAGGAGGCACTCAAAGACTTCGTGCTCTCCCCTACTTTTGCTAAGTTGATGGCTGATCGCCATGATCGCTTTTTAGGCTAAGGTTGAGGTTGCGGGAGAGGCTGGCGCATTTGATTTCCCTGCTAATCATCCTCGTGTTATTAGCTGCAAGGTTCCTGACCACGCTGTTTTAAACTTGGAGGTTCCTCTCTGCCTTGATGTTGCTGCGGCTATTGGAGTGGAGTCTTTGGCTGGTGACCAATAAAGGCTATGGCGGCTGTCACCCTCTTACTCCAGTGGTTATTCTGAGTTCCCCTCACCCAGATCTGTAGTAACCAAGTAGTTTTTGTTGCTATCTTTGGGGTGTATAGCCGCCAAAGATTATATTTCTCTGTGTTTCTGCTGAACATTTTATTTTTTGTTGCTGGACCTGTCCAGCTTGACTTAACTTTATATTTTTCCAACTATATTCGCTGAGTATTTCCTTGTCTTGGTGGACGAGGGCTTAGTGTTGCATATGTTGTAATTAACTTGCTGGATGTTTACTCTGCCTTGGTGGGCAGGGGTTCAGCTTTGTAACTATGATGATTTATCTTGCTAAATGCTTCTGTCATTTTACCTGGTGATTATTTCATAGTCTGCATATTTGTCCAGAATTGTTGTTGGGCCAAGATGTAGTAGTACCTAGACCTTAGCACATCAGTCTCTTTGTTGTATTCGGTGAAACCTCGTAGGTAGGGCTTCACTGATTTCCTGATTTGGTTGTTGAGGGCTCTTTTGATCTCCTTCTCCCTGTTGTGCTTAGCAAGAACTCTGGTGAGCTTTGCTCTTCTTGTCCTGTTTGCTTTGGATGCTTGTGCACTATGTACTCTACTTGATTTTTGTAGAGACAAGTTTGCATGCTGATTAGTTTATTCGATTGCATGTTATTTAATCTTCCCTGTTGAGACTTATTTATGTCGATCAACTTTTTTACCTACTCCCTTTATGTCATTCAGCTTGTTTTGCTGTGACTTATTTCTGTCGTTCAGCTTGTTTATGCTGTGACTTGTTTATGTCGTTCAGCTTGATAATGCTGCGAATTGTCATTTTGTGCCTGCTTACTTCTTTTCGTAAGGGCTTATTGTATGTCTGTCTCCTCCTTTCCTCTCCCCCTGAAAGAGGTGGGCTAAGTGGGACTAAGAAAACCTTAGTGTTGCCCACGTAGCTCATCTTTTTCTTTTCCCCTTTTCTCTCCTGCTCAAGTTGAATGTGCTAGGCCTCCCCGAGGTGGTGCCCTGTTTTGCTTTGAGCAGGTGATGTGAGGTTTTAGGGAGGGATGCTTTAACTTGTCGTTTTAACGGTACTTTTCGACATTGTGCTAAAGTGTTTCTTGCCTCTAACACTTTATAATTATTTTTGTTTGACTTCTGCATGTTAGTATATGATTTCGTGGCATAACATATTAAATAGATTTACGCAACATACTCCTCACGCAGAGGCTTGCATTTCATTAAATAAAAATGGCTCAAATGCCTTAATTAACATAACATGAACTGAATAAAGGTTTATCAAACTTGAAACAACTATATTTGTTTTTTTTTTCAGGCTATTTAAACAAAATATTTCTTTAACATACCAGCATTGAAACTGTTTCTTAAGACCTGACCTTCTTGATCTGCAAGAAGGAATGCTCCAAGTCCCACCTACTCGTGAATGATGAAAGGGCCTTCCCAGTTCGCTGACAACTTTCCAGGCTGATTTCCTCTTCCCACTACTGATGTCCTTCTAAGGAATAAGTCTCTGAGGAGGAGCTCTCTATGCTTGACCCTCTTGTTGAAAGCTTTTGAAATCCTGCTCTTCTGGGCTGCCAGCTTGAGAGCTGCTTTTAGCCTTACTTCTGGCAGGAAATCTAGCTCTTCCAGCATGCGCTTTTTTTTCCTTGTTGCTCATAGTGCTGTATCCCCAGGCTGGGAATTTGCACTTCCATTGGGACGACTGCATCAGCCCCATAGGCCAGGGTGAAAGGGCTTTACCAGTGGACTCCTTCTCAGTGGTTCTGTTTGCCCACAGGACCTCTAGGACTAGGTCTGCCTATAGGCCTTTGTATTCCTCCAGATTCCTTTGCAAGGCTATTAGGATCAGCTTGTTTGCTGCTTCTGCCTTGTCATTACTCTGCGGATGGCAGACTGAGGCACTTGCATACCTGGTGCCCATGTCCTCCAGGTAGTCCTTGATGGTGTCACAGTCAAACTGACATCCATGATCAAAGACTATGCACTATGGCACACCGAATCTTGTGATGATGTTTTTCCATATGAATGTCCTTACTTGGATTGCCTTTATGTACTAAGGGGGTTCAGCTTCTATCCACTTTGTAAAGTAATCTACTGCCACGATGAGATACTCACTAGAAGAAAATATGAATTGGCCACCGGCTCAAAACCGGTGGCAAAAACAAATATTGCCACCGGTTAACCGGTGGCAATAATGCTTCCCGCAATTTTTTTTAATGGTATTAACAAGTATTGCCACCGGTTAACCGGTGGCAATAATTCCCATAAAAAAATTGTAGTAGAAACTATATATATATGTAAAATACATAAAAACAGATATATATTCATCAGTATCTAGTAATTGTACACTTTTTAAGAGTGAAAAAACTAAATTAATAACTACAACTAAATTACTCATACAACAATTCCAATTTAAAAGAACTAAATTCATCAAATTACACAAGACTAAAATTCCAACATTAAAATCTAAAAAAAAAATTACAATAATAAACCAAAAAAAAAAATTACAACATTAAAATTAAAAAATAACCCATATAACACCTAAATCAATAATCCAGCATCTTTATTCTTCGATTTAACATCTACATCTAAATTAATATACCTGCATCAAACAAAAAAAATCGATTAAATAAAATAAAAAAGCTGCGGAATAAAAATAAAAACCATAATAGTATGCATGGTACCCATAAATCGATTTAAATTGGTTAAATAAACCCAGAAAAAACACACAAAAATATAAACAAAACCCAAAAATTAATCAAAAACCTAGAAAAATTACCCAGAAAACTAAAACGCAGAAAAAAAAAGAAAAAAAAAACCCAGGCTAGAAAAAAAAATTAAACAAAATTCCCAGAAATTAGTGAAAACCCGAGAATTAAATCGAACTAAATAAAAAAATCGAATTGATTTTCAAAACGAGAATGAAAAACAAAATGAGAATTAAATCGAACTTAATAAAACAAATTGATTTTCACGAACTCAAAAAAAAAACCTAGAAAAAAACCCAGAATTAAATCGAATGAACCCAGAAGGAGATCGACTTAGAATTGATTAAAATCAATTAAAAATCGAATTAAACTCGATGAAAACACTCAAAAAATCCAAAATCGACTAATTAACCCATGAAAATCAATAAATAGTAATGAAACAAAAACCCTGAAGAAAACCCTGAAAAAAAAAATTGGACAAAAATAAAAACAAAATCCCAGAAATAAGTTAAAAAACCGAGGAAAAAAAACAAGAAATTGATTCACGAACTCAAAAAACAAAAACCCAGAATTAGTTGATTAAAATCGATTAAAAACCAAATTAAAATCGATTAAGAAACTCAAACAATTCCAAAAACGATTAATTAAACCCAGAAAATCAATCAATTACCAACAAAATCCGATTAATTAACCAAGAAAAATCGATTTTAAACACAAACCTCGTGCATGTCTTCGTGGTGCATGTCTTTGAGGTTAATTGGTGATGGGAGACGAAGGAGAAGAGGGAGAAGGAGACGAAGGAGAAGAGCAAGAGAACAGAGCAGTCGAATTGAAAGAGAAAGAAGAGAGGGGAGAGCAGGAGAGAGAAAGAGGAGAGGGGAGAGCAGGAGAGAGAAAGAACGGCTGAGAGGGAAATGAGGTAGGGTTTGGGGTTTATAAGGGGGGTTTTTTTTTTAATTGATTATTGCCACGGGTTCAGACCGGTGGCCTTTACCATTTATGCCACCGGTTCGGTTTGAACCCGTGGCAATGTGAATTAGCCTATCCCGCCCATTTTTTAAGCCACCGGTTTTCAAAAACCGGTGGCCATAGAGCGGTGCCTTTTTGTATTTTTCTACTAGTGACTTCCTGCCTGCTGACCTAGTGGTGAAAGGTCCCAATATGTCCATTCCCCATTGAGCAAACGGGATTGGGCTGAGGATTGGAGTTAGATCATTTGCTGGGTGGTTTATAACTGGTGAATACTTCTGACACTTGTCGTATTTTTTTTACATATGCTAGCGCGTCTTGCGTGAAAGTTGGCCAGTATGCCCCCCTTTTGAGGACTTCTAGTCCCAATGTCTTTCCACCAATGTGGTTAGCGCATATTCCCGAGTGGGCTTCTTCCATAATGCCTTCCTGCTCCCACTTTGGGATGCACCTCAGTAGAGGTTTTGTGAAGCCTTTCTTGTTGAGCTCCCCATTCATCACCACATACCAATTGGCATCCTTCTTCACCTTCTTAGCTTGTACTTCGTCATCGGGCAGCGAGCCATGAACTTTGTACGCCAGAATGTCTGAAAACAAAGCCCTCTGCTGTCCAATGTAGTTTACCTACTCCTTTTCGGTAATACTGCTTTCCTCTAGGACTTCAACCATCACTGTCCTTGTGAGGCTCTGTAATGTGGAACTAGCTAACTTAGATAAAGCGTCAGCTTGAGAATTTTCTGCTCTGGGAACTAAGGCTATTTGAAAGTGGACTAGTTGAGCAGCCAGCTCCTTTACTTTAAATACATATTTCAGCATGGCGGCTTCTCTAATCTCGTACGCTCCCTGCAATTGGTTGGCGACGAGCTGAGAATCAGTTTGTAGATGTACTTTGCGGGCTCCCGCTGCGATGCTCATACACAGGCCTGCTAGCGTGTCAAAATATGGTTTTAGTTTTCTTGCTGTGCTGACCACTGCGAAGGTCAGCTTCTCTACCAATAGGCATGGCTCACGAAGTATATTGGCCTCTGTTGCTTTTGTCTTTCCACCAGCAGAATGACTGCGATTGTCTGTATTGACGCAGAGATGTACAGTTGCAACTTTTCCCTTAGCTCCGGGCTGATCATTGTTGGGAGCTTAGTCAGATGCTCCTTAATACCCTCAAAAGATTCTTTTTCTTTGGCTCCCCACTTAAATTCTCTGTTCCCTTTCAGTAGCTGATAGAACGGTAGAGCCTTATCCGCTGACTTGCTGATGAACCTGGTCAGCGCGGCTATTCTGCCCGTCAACTGCATGATATCCTTGATGCACTTAAGCTCAGGCAGGCTTAGGACTGCTTCGATCTTTTCTGGATTTGCGTCTATCCCTCTCTCGCTGATAAAAAAACCCAAGAACTTTTCTAAGCTCACTCCAAAGACACATTTCTTTAGGTTAAGTTTGGTTTTATACTTGTTCAGGGTGGCAAATGTTTCTTCCAGATCCATGATATGCCCTGCCTACGTGACGCTCTTAACAATTGAGTCGTCCACGTATACTTCAACATTTCTACCCTTCTGTTGTAGGAATACCCTATCCATTGCCTTCTGAAAGGTTGCCCCAGCATTCTTCATCCCGAAGGGCATAGCTATGTAATAATACGCTCCCCCTTCAGTGATGAATGCGGTTTTCTGCCGGTCTGGTTCATGCAGGCTAATCTGATGGTACCCTAAGAAGGCGTTCATGAAGCTTAGCAAGGCGTGCCCGCTGGTTGAGTCTACCAGCTGTTCGATCCGTGGCAGCGGGTAGCAGTCTTTTGGGCATGCCTTATTGAGATATGTGAAATCAACACACATTCTCCACTGGCCATTTGCTTTCTTCACGATGACCACGTTGGCTAACCACTCTGGTAGTCAAAAGGTTCAATGAATCCTGCCTCCAAGAGTTTCTCCACCTCCTCCTAGATTGCTTGATTTTTCTTCGTGGAAAAGCTTTGCTTTTTCTACATACCTGGCTTAATATCCTCCTTCACATTCAGCCTGTGTACCACGACTGTAGAGTCGATTCCGGGCATCTCATCTGCGAAAAATGCGAAAATATCCTTGTTCTTCCTCAGCAGCTCTACGAGGTGTACCCCTCCCAATTTTCACCGTTCTCGAGGGGTCACCTTCTGTGAGCTCGACTATGACATACTCCCCACTGGGAAGTGGTCTAGCCATTTCCTCTTTCGCAGGCTCGAAGTTTTTCATTGCTAAATTCGGTTTATCCTTTTCCCTATGATATTTTTCACGCTTCCTTTTCCTTGACTTCCTCTCAGCCTACTCTAGGGCCCTTCTCACTGAGCCAGGCTACTGTATGGTTTTTGCGGGCTGCTTTAGGGCAGTTATGTAACATTGTTGAGCTGTCTTCTGACTTCCCCTGAGCTTTGCTGACCGTCCCTCATTAGTTGTGTAAGCCATGGCAAGGTGATAGGTGGATACCCCTCCGCCTATCTTGTGGATGAGTGGTCTTCCCATGATCACATTGTAGGGTGAAGGAGAGTTTATCATAAGGAATTATGTTCAAACATCACGCCTTCTTGATCTCTCACCCACCCGAATTGAGAGCTCGATTATGCCTTCCGGGGTTAGCCCTGATCCATTAAACCCGGTGACTTCGTAACTCACCCTCTTCAAATCTTTCTTGTCCAACTTCAGCTCGTTGAACATGCTGATGTATATGATGTTGGCTGAGCTGCCTTCATCTATCAATATCCTATCCACTTCCCAGTTTGCAATTCTCATTGTCACTACCAGTGGATCATCATGAGGGCAAATTATGCCCTTCTGGTAATACTCGTCAAATGTGGCTCATGGCTGCGGGGGAAGACGTAGCCATCTTCCCTTCTCATTGTCGTTTATCTGATGTATCATCGCCCGCAGGTCGGCCCGTGCTCTGTTAAATGTTCCTCCATGCACTGGACCCCCAGTGATAACATATACCCTGCCTTCTGGCTTGCCATCTCTGTCTCCGTCTTCAGCGGGACCCCTATGACCTCCTCTGCGGGCAGCGCAGCCTGTTCTATCCTCGTCCCTCCTTCTGGGAGGGTCATCTCGCTGCTTTAACTGATTCAGGTACCCTCTCCTGACTAAATCTTCTATGTTATCCTTCAAGCGTGTGCATTCCTCAGTGGTGTGGCCATGGTCTCTGTGGAAGTCACACCACTTGCTGGTATCATGGTTCCTATTAACCATCCTTGGGGGTCTCTACCACTTATCATCATCTTTATTCACGCTGAATATATGAGACCTTGAGTGGGTTAGTGGGGTATATTGGTCGAACCTTCCAACCCTTGGCCCTCTCTTTGGATCTAACCTTCTCCCCCCACTTCTCTGTCCGCTTCTCTGCGACTTTGCTCGGCCCTGCTCGGCTGGTCAGCCCTTGGTGTGTTCTCTGCCCGGGTGACCTCTTCCCGCTTAACTAAGTCACCTGGTGCCTTCCTACTCAGCATTGCTCTGTCAGTCTCGTCTGCTTTGATGAACTCGTGCGCTTTACCTAGCGCTTCAGCAAGTGTTTTGAGGCTCTTACGCCCCATATACTCTATGAATGGTGAGCCTGGTAGTAAGCCACTCTGTATTGCTAGTAGTGCTACCTCTTGACTCATATTTTGGAGGTTGTTGCCTCTTTGTTGAATCTGGTGATAAACTCCCTCAGAGGCTCGTCTTTCCCTTGAACTAATGACATCAGCTTGGTGTAGACACCTAAAAATGTCTCCTTAAAACCAAACCCGATGATGAACAAACTTTCACCACCACTATTGGTCGGGTTCATTATTTAATCACGAGAGTGCTTAAAAAATCGTATTTAATAAAATTCAATTTCTAGATAGTCCATGGATCAGTCTTAATGTTTGGTCAAAGAATAATTTTAATTTCAGCCAAAACTTATTTTACTGTTATATTATATAATTTTAGCCCAAACATTTTTTATTTTAGTGTTTTATTATTTATTTTTGGCCCAAACCTTTTATTTATTTTATTTACTTATTTTCTTATTTTAGCCCAAATAATAATAAAAACAGAAATGGACCGAAATTATCAATCGGCACTTAAAATGCTGAACGAAATTAGGGTTAAAAATGAACTTAGACGGAAAAACGGACAAAAAATTCCCGCGTCACGGCAATAGTCCACCGTGTCACGGGAAACTGTCCCATCTGACGGTGGGATTTCCTGTGACACGGGAAACCTGCTGTGACACGGGAGTTTCCGTGTCCGTTCCGCGTAAACCCTTCACGCGTTTTATTCCCCGTACTCCAAAATATTTCCCGCGTCACGCAACTGTTCACCGCGTCACGGGAATTTTTCCTGTCTGACGGTGGGAATTCCCATGTCACGGTACACGGTGCCGTGTCGCGGTATACTTTTTTAAGGTTTATATCATTTTAGGGTTCTGTGTTTTCCCTCAGCTCATTTCTGATGTACAGGGCATGAATTTATTCTCTATTTTTATCTCTTCTATGCTGTAACCTAACACTAGCCTACCCTTCTTCTTTCAAAATTCCTTCTTCAAGTACTCCAAGGAGTCCATACTTTACTCGTGGTTCTGTCCTTAAGCCAAGGCGTGAAAGGTAGAACTGTTTGAGGGTTTTGCCCCAAATCAACTTAATTTAATTTAATTTAATTTAATTTAATTTAATTTAATTATCATATTATTATTATTATTATTTCCTTGAAGTTACTATCTCGCTTATTATTTTATAGTTGCAAGCAAACAGAATCAAAGTACGAATTATGTTCCTTTTATTTCTATTATTTTTCTAACGATTTTATATTGTTGGATTTATTGCTAAATTGCTTCTAATATTAATGTTTATTCTATTTTTATAATAATCACTATATTGCATGTTTAAAGGGAATATGTAATTGAAAATCACGACTAATAAGATAATTTGGACAACCGGTTTAGGTCCCTTTTTAATGTTGTTATTAAATCAAGTGATCACACTATTTTAGAATTATGTGTTGCATTAATATTAAACCAATTTAGCTTAATAATAGTTTGGAGCAAATTGAATTTTTGTTTATATGCCTTTGAGATCGCAGGAATCACTTTTCACTATAAGAATCGAGTAGAGGCCCATACGGGCGAATGTGACTCCATGACTCACGTCGTACCATCATCCCCGATCCTCCTTTCATGGTTCCGAACCATATGGAGTTAGTAATCTTAT